GGTGATGGATCCCCTTTCCGTATGTACCCCCGTCGGTGCTGAATCCCACTGCTGTTGGGGATCCCAACCCAGAGACAAGGAACCCGATTTCAACTGATTCCCTCTCCGGGCACCCATGAGAAGTCTGCGTTCTCCTGGTGCTTTAATCAGCTTTGGGGAGTAAAGGATAGATGATGGAACGAAATCTGAGTATATATTCCTCGAGCCCCGTTGGGAACTAAGGAAAATCTGACACTCATACGGACGTGTATATATCATTTGCTTTGATTACATTTTTTATCTTCTTTGGCCAAATGTTTGTGCAGAAACTGCCACTATATACAGTTGTCCCCCACACAACGGACCTCCCATGCTGCTAAAGTTTTTTGCACAACAGACTGCCCCTGGATGCGGTTTTTCCTCCTGCGCAATAAACTAAAATCGCATAAACAGACTTCAGTTGGTTTAAAATTAATGGTAAAATGTAAAAATATTATTTTTTATTAATTGGATTTGCATGACAAACTTTTCACACAACCTACTATAGTCTGTTGCATGAATTGAGTCCGTTGTGCAGGGGATGACTGTATATTGGTTTTATCCACTTTTTGAAACTTCAGCAATAACTATTTTGTATGAGTATGGTTGTTCCACTAAATTATTTCACCCCATTAATTCAACCAAATATCGTTTTACTGGAATTTTTTATTTCAGAAACGCTACCAAATGCTTCAGCATCGATTATTTGTTGGAAAAATGAGTTATGTCTATGTCTCACAAAAACGGTGATATTTGCGCTAGAAATGGAAACTCTTTGGTGTATATTGAGGACAGAGTCTACAATATAATTTAGTGTGGAGTGTTGGATAAATGAAACAAGTTGGTCAGTCCTGGACAGGACCAGGATTCCTATTAGGAATTCCTAGTTTAAGAGATTAAGATATATTTCAGGAATAAATGGATAACAACAAATAACAACTCAACAAGCTTGGGCTTGGATAATGCATAGCTGAACACAACTGATCTAATGGGAGAATATGAGGATGCTGCTTATATAGTATTCCCAATCAGAAACCTTCATAAGGTTTTACCACTCTAATGGTGACAGGAAAAAGTAGTCATCAAAGATGCTACACACAGGAAAAGGTAGTCATCAAAGATGCTACGGTGCCAGGTACATCCTGACACCGTAACCGGTACCAGGTTGTGCCGGCACTGCGATTTTGAGGAGGGGAGGATAATTCTGAGAATTGTAGGTATTATAGTGTATGTTAGCATGCATGCCCAATAGTGTACGCTTTACTTTTTTTTACATCTTGGATCAAGAATAACTCAAGAGATTTTGCAATGTTATTTTTTCAGGCTCTACTTTTTACTTCATGTCAAAAATAAAAGTAAGGGGTGTTTAGAAACAGCAGATTTGTGGAGTTTAGCAGAAGATGCTAATCCTTGAGGAATCTTGTGGGACCAGAGTTGACCTCAAGTTCCCACAATCTTCCTCCCAAAATTTGTTCCATCCTTCTAAAAATCCATTCCTGATGAATCCTTGAACACCAAGGACATTTCTTTCTGCATTCTTTTCCTCATTGAAATAATCTTCTTGTTTGCTGACAACCAGCAGAAAAATCAATCAAGTTTTGATCTTCAAAGAGTGCAGACCTTGCAAAAGTCTGGTTTTCTTGTCGTTTTTCTAAATCAAACTAAAGTCTACTTCATCCAATATCTCTTTTGAACTTGTGGTATTCCATCTTGTTTGTCAAAAGGAAAATATAACACGTTATACAAGGACTTTGTAGTCCTGGCCACAGCCCGGCTGATCATGCTGTTTTATTTTCTTCATTTGCTGTGTGTTCAAGCCTAATCCCTTTCAAGTTCTTCATTGACTTTATTATCAGTTCAAGTTTCAATCAAAAGGAACTTTGATTTCCTTTCTTGTCTAGAATATATTTTTGACACTTCATGAGTTACACCCTACTTTCTGTTCGCCAATCTTTTGCTTATATACACGGGAGGCCCCTTACAATTTGCAGAAGAGTCTTTATTAGGTAGAGAAGCTCTATTTCATGGTATTGAGATTCTACTGTACTGAATATAAAAAGCCAGCTTTTGAACCATCGCCGCCCAGAAGCTGCGTCAGACAACCATAAAAAAACTACTGTACGTCAGACAACCACAAGGAAACAGATCCACTCCTCTATACTTCCCTATGTGACTTTTTCTTTATTCTTGCACGGTATTATGGACAGGAGAAGGATGGTATTGACGGAATGGGGTCGGATTTTGATTGGTTTTTCGCAGAAAAACACGGGTCAGAATGAGGGCAGGCCGAAACTGGATCTAAGCGTGGAGGCGGCCTGGGCGCAGGGTGCCACTGGAGTCAATGTGACCACCGCCATCATGGACGATGGTGAGAAGAAAATGAAATTAAATTCCCCAAGAACTCTCCTCTAGAAAGAGAAGAAGAAAAAAACGAAAAAAGGAAAGAAAAAACATTCGCTCTCTCTCTCTGCTGGGAACCAGAAAACTTCGTTATCCTCGGAAGCGAGGTCTCAAATTATAGTCGACATCTTCATCGTGAAGGATATAATAAGAAAGGGAGAAGTGAAATGTACGAAGTAGTGTGCAAACGACATCGTTATCCAGAAAGTAGACCTTTGGGTACTCCTTATTATTTTTTTTTCTCGCGCTATATAGCCACAGAAGTGCTTTCAAAATCTTTTTTTAAATATCAATTTGTTACTACGCCTGAAACTTTTTTTTCGTCTGTTGCCATGTCTGCAGGTGTTGACTACATGCATCCTGATTTGAGGCACAATTTTGTGAGTATAAAACATTATTTCCTAACTAACCATCTTCTTTTCAGTGGTAGTGGTAGGACGAGATGCATGAAAGCATTAAAATATGTATGCATTTTTTTTATCATGAATGACTGAATGAACAGCACACTTTATTTGCCGCTTTTCAGCATTCACAAGGTACAATAAAGATTTCCACATCCAAAACCCCTCCCCGCCCAACCCAAATCACCTCAAAGATATTTGATCACTTCAAAGCAGGAAACAAAGCTCAAGTTGATGACAAATATAAAAGAAAATGCAATCCACAAAATAAAACTGGACATCTGAAATGTCTGCATACACACACTCATTTCCTGACAATGAAAATAAAATAGCAATAAGAGTTTATTTAAAGCACGAGGTCTTCAGCTTGTTTCTGTATGAGATTTAGTTGAATGAACAATTTAGAGAGAATCTTTGATGATAAATCATATGAGGCCAACAGTTTATCTTGATCTCTTAAGATTTCAGAAAGCGTCTCTTGATTGAATTTCAGTACTTTTAAATCTTTCTTAAGCTGATTTCTATCCATATGAAATGCTGGACATAAGAAGAGAAGTTTTATCAGGCTTTTGTTGACCAAAATAATTAGTGCACATGACATTATAAAACCGATGGCAGGTCTTAACCATGAAAGGTATAGGATACTGTATTTCATTTTCCTTCTATTGACGCCAGAGGAAAATTAAACACTTAATAATTTAGGCAAATGTTACACATAAGGCAATTTAAAATGTAAAGACACTCATTAACATTTTTAATCAGGAAAATTATCCTAAAAACTACTGTACTTAAGATGAAATAGGCAGTCTTTCATCCCATTCTAAGACTAAAATAAACCGGATTTTCCACCCATTTAAACTCTTCAAACATTTGTATTTCCAGAGCATCAGTGTGATCGTTGTTAAAAAAATTAATGAAAAATATTCAAAGAGGTACTTTGAGTGGAATTGGCATAGTAGTATTGCTTGCCATTCCGAAACGCGGAAAAAAGTTTTTTCCACTCATTATGATTCTTCAAAAGAAAGAAGTTGATCCCAGATATTCAGTATACTCTACTTACTAAAGCCAAATAAACATATTTTTAGTGATAATTATGCAAAAGTACTTCAACTGGAACAGGTATAGCATTTTCTCCTATTCCAAACCAAATGAGACCTATTTTAGGGCTAAACACTCTTCGTTTAAAAGAACATGTTGATACAAACATTCAGTGCCACTGCTGCTTGATATAGAACTGAATGGCCATATAATGTACTTTAATGAGAATTTCTCAAAAAAGTATTTCAAGTGGAAAGGGTAGCACATGTCCTACCATTCCAAACAAACTAAAAAAAAAAAAGATTCTGCATATGTTTCAATTAAAAATGTTTTCCACATATATTCAGCACTAGGTGGGAACTTATCCTTCAATATAACCAAATACAACTGTTTTGAATGAGGCATTGGTCAAGAAAGTACTTCAAGTCTTTCTTAAAGTGTTCCACATGGACAATCAATGTTTTCCAACTCCTGGGCCACGGACAGGTGCCAGTCTGCAGATATTTTTTGCCAGTCCTTGAGACATTTTCTTGAGCATGATAATTGCATCAAAATTAGCAATGAAGTCTGTTATCTTTATCTGAAATTCCAGAAAGACAATGGCAGTAGAATAATCTGATGAGAAGTTGGCTTTTCTCTCAATAACATTTCAGATAAAGTTTCACTCGCTGAATACATTATTTAATTTTTCATTCTAAGAAACCTTTCTTCACACTCATCTTTCTAATTTTTTTTAAGACGTTGCTTCATTTTTTATTCAAAAAAGGAAACTTTTCAAATACCTGCCATCATGAAGTCTTCAAAACAAAATGTGTTTTTGAGTCTGTAAAATTTTATGAAACTTTGTTAGTCTGCAGAATTTTTCCTGATCTGCAGCAAATTTTATGGACATTTTCTGGTCAGTGTTCACAAAAAGGATTGGTAACACTGGCATAAATAGCCTTCCATTCCCAGCAGCAACTCTATATTACCCCTGTATACTTATTCCTCGTGGTCCCAATAAGAAAACATTACTTTTCTTGCTCAATGGTCACATTCAAATTTATGGGCATCATATGAGGATTGGTATGAGTTGTTTTTATGGCCCAGTTGTTGTGCTTCAGGGTCCATGCGAGGGAATTACTGTAATATTTCCTTGCTAATGCTCGGAGTGCGAAGAAAACACCCATGCTGTGATGTTGTCCTTCCGCTTGACAGAAATACTCCATATGGACAGGATTTATTCTCTGGTAACTTTCTCAACAAGTCAGCAAATATTTGGGCTTCCAGGAACAATTTTTTTTCAATATTGATGTCATCACTCGTTGATCATTGATTGACGATTCTGGTGGCTTCGAGGAAAACTTCGATGAATATAGCTGAATTTAAAAAGAACCCCATGCAGGGTTCTATCGAACCATGCAGATGAGGAAATCTGTTCTGGTTCCATGACCTTAATTCGAAGCACTCAAAGGATTTGTCCATGATTCGTGGTGTAGTGTGTTTGAAGCCTCGTACATGTTTCCGAATGAGAGGGAATACGTTATTTTTAGTTTCCCAGTGTTGAGACAGCTCAGCTTGCAATTGAGACACTAGGCATGAAAAAAAACAGCCAGCCTTCAAGTGGACTAAAAGCTATTTCACATCTGACATACGAGTATATATATTTCAACTTATTTTCCATACCATGAGTCTCACCGGATTTTAGTCGCCTTAAAATTTAGGATTACGGGAAACGTACTTTTAATCAATTCACCATAGCAGCAACTTGTCTCAATTGTGAAAACTTAATTGGACCTTTACACTTGCCCATAAATACTTTGAGAAAACAGCAGTCTAATATACTCAGCGTGACGATGCGAAAATTTTCGAAGAACTTAAATTGAAATAATTTTTGGGGGTACGATTCAGAACTTATAAAGAGTAAATATATCACCAAAAAGCTCTATATGAAATAATGAAGTTCACCCAAATTTTCCGTATGACCTTTATATGAATTTTTTGCCGTGTTGAAATAAGCGTAACCTGAATCAGAAGAAGAATTTCCTGAATATATATGCTATAATGTTCAAGCTACTGAAAATTATTACTAGAGAAAGTGGAATTTTATTCAACTCACCAAGAAGTTGCATAAATGTTAGGGATTATAGGGGTTCCTTCACAAAGAAAAGTGATTGGAATTGAAAGTAAAACCGAGCCTCTTCATACAGGCTCCAAGAAGTTAGATTTATTCTTGTCCCAAAACGACTTCAGGAATTCACACGTAAATACTTTCACACGACACAAGCAAAAAATCAGACAAGGTATTTGTGAGGATTCAATGGATTTAATATTGAGCTCTGTATGCTTCAAAAATTGGCAGTAATGCATATGTGGAACAAATTCTGAGTTTTTTTTTTTTTGGAAGAAGATAGAAAAGGAGGAAAGTGGTTTTCCTTGAATGGGTTTTTCTGTGTTTCTAATTGTCTTTTGGAGTCAAATTCAAAGACAACAATTGTGCTGTGTTGAACAGGTTTTGGGATTCATGGGAGGCAAGTGCTTTGCACCCATTTCTGGGTTGTGGGTGAATTATTTATTATTTAATTACCACTATACGCGCTGCAGTCTCCAAAAAAAAAACATTGTTCTGATCATTACCAAAATAGATTTTATTTATCAAACAATTTGCTTTAAACGTTACATTTTTCTTGAAAAAAGAACTGAACATATGGAACCGTAATTTAATCACATGAGCCTCATCTCGAATAAGCCCAGCTGATCTCATGGCCAGTTATATTCATAATTTTCTGTCTTATTTTCCTGCTGGTTCGAAAATTTATCAACGTCCCAGGAAAACGCATGATTCTTGATGCTGGCCCTCATACGTTTGCTTGGTATGTGAACATAATTGCACCCGCGCTGTGCATGGAAAAAACTTGCGAATAAGGCTGGATATATAGTGTGCTGATGCAAAGAGATGGGCTCAGGGCTCAGCAGGATCCACGAGCACAAGGACAATAATTGCACTGGAAATATTCGCCTTGCTGAACACGCGACACAAGGCACGTCATGGAATGTAATAATCATGGAACCGGANCTGATGCAAAGAGATGGGCTCAGGGCTCAGCAGGATCCACGAGCACAAGGACAATAATTGCACTGGAAATATTCGCCTTGCTGAACACGCGACACAAGGCACGTCATGGAATGTAATAATCATGGAACCGGAGAAACGCATTTCAGGGATTTTCTGTATGTGTAGCAAAGAGAATGGATATGAAAAGAGACCATTTCAGGCCAGGAGAGGTTGGATTTTAAAATGAGACGAAAGGTCAGCTGGAAAATTCTTGAAAATCTCATCATCAAGCAGAGATTTGATCAGCAAGTTTCAATTGGTTTGAAGGGTTCTTAGTCAAACGATTCAAAATTTTCATGAAATTAGCACGAACACTGCTATATGATGATAAAAATTATATTCAAATGAATTACTTTATTGTGCTGTGTTCGTATGCAAACATGTCTTAATTCAGAACATGAGAGTTCTGAAATTTCCCTCTGCCAGAGTCTCCAAAATTTATTTTTCACACGCATATATTATCCTTCGTATTTTTCCTCAATTTTATAAAATAAGAAGGATCACTGCTATGTTGATGACAATTATGCGTAGATGAAATTTCTTGTGGGATCACATGCGAACATAAATATCTTAGTTAAAAACTTGAGAGTTCTGAGATTTTCTCACGTGCGCCTCAAAAAGCTTTTTTTTTTAAGCATAAGGGATATAGAAGAACTTTTTGACTTTTGTCGGAAAGTTATCGAGTGAATCAATTTTTCTCAAGATGCCTTTATATAAGTTGAAATTGGCACGAAAAGATGCGAATATTGGGGATGGAAGTTCGAAGAGTGGGATCCTTGAAGTTCGCGGTCGATCTGATTTTTCTCTGGAAACTTTCCCGAGACTTTTTGATAGATTTCATATTTTTGCGTGGAACTCTTTACTCAATCTTTTCAGTTTTTAATCCTTGTAGTTTGCGACTTGAAAAAGTTCTTGCTTGTTGATTGCAAGTTTCTTTTTTGAATGGAATACTGTTTTTTGCTTCCTCGCTGTTGTTGAGTTCCGCGATTTGTTTTGAGGATTTTTTAAAAGGTGTTTCTGTGTTCCGTTATTCTTGAGATACTGTATAGGATTTTAATCAGGTTTTAAATTTTTTTTAATAGAATGCAAGAGCGAGTTACGATTTCAGCAGCAATGATCCATACCCGTACCCAAGATATACCGACGATTGGTTCAACAGGTGAGCAAATCGGACTTTCTAAAATTCACGAATCATGAATATAGAAATAATGGAGGTCATTGATAAAGGAAATTAATGAGTCGCAAAGAATCATGAAACATCTTTATGCTCTTCTAAAATTAAAATAATGTGTCTATATTCGAGATTGTTGAAATTTTTCTCCTATACTGTATTTGAAACGACTGACTCCATCAACAAGTTGAATTTCGAAATTCGACCCATTTCTGACGTTGAAGAAGTACGGTTTTCGTGGCCTGAAATATTGTCATTATGTTATTGAAATATGTTTATGATTGTTTACCATTTTCTATAGCCATGGCACCAGATGTGCAGGAGAGGTTTCTGCAGCCAGAGACAACGGAATTTGCGGCGTAGGGGTGGCTTACGGATCTCAAGTCGCAGGTATATAAACTGACAACACTTTTCCTTTCTAGAAACATGGTGTCTAGAAACGAAGCGCATGTCATCCCGGTTACTCCTTTTCCTTCCTCGATTGAGTACACTTGGATTATTGACACAAGTAAATCAATTCCACACATTCTATACGCGCTCCTTCAAACTCACCGGAGTATAATCTTTTCCCGAGAACATATTTTGTTCATTTTATTTGACGACGAAAAAAACATTGTAATTTTTCCACAAGAATTTCCCTTGTATGATGCAAAAAGAACCTTGCTAAGGTATCTCTGTACAGAATAGGTTTTTAAAAATGTGGAGGTGCCGGGGATTGAACCCGGGGCCTCTCACATGCGAAGCGAGCGCTCTACCACTGAGCTACACCCCCTTTCTTGA